CATATCCAAAAACATATCGTTAAATGGGTAGGTTTCTCCCACATTTATTATATAATATTACCGAAGTTACCTACCCTAAAAACATATTCAAAAACATACCATAGAAATGGGTAGGCTTCTTCCATTTTTCTTATAATATACTACCGAAGTTACCTACCCTGAAACACTAGTTACCTCAATCTGTTAACCAATATTGGAATCGCAATTCTTTATGTTTTTCTTGCCAATACCCGATGCATATTTTTTTGATATCACTGTGTACCGATTGAAAAAAATTAATTTAAACTTTCGAAAATATATTGGGATAATATAACTTTGTTAACTGATAGATTCATACCATATAAAAACCAAATACCAAAAAATGAGTAAACAAAGCGCACAACTCGAGCGGTACGGGGGCGGGGAAACTTTAGTCGGGATTCCAACTCGCAACGATATTATTTCGGAATGTGATAATGGATTAACAACCATATTTCAACAAAGCTTATCTGATAAACAGCCTATATACTTTATGCCAAACGATGTGAGTGATGCCACTGAGTATGTAAAAAATGTATCAACATATATTCTACGTATTTACGGCACTTTGATTAATGGGCAAAAAGCTAGAGTAGATATTACAGGTATTAAACCTTTCTTTGATATCGCTGTGTCTGATAACGAACCTTTATCTGCATTCAAATCAAGATTGGTGAAAATTATATCAGGAGCAGAAAAAATTGACAAATCAAAGTTTGGAATAAATATTGTCTATGCATATCCAATTCGTGGTTATCATACCGAGAAAAAGATGTATATTCGTATCACTACATGGAACCATTATGATAGGACGCGGATTTTAAAAGAAGTTCGCAAGCATGGTATTGAAACAGCATCTGATGATATCACTAATGTTCATTATTATCGAAAAATAGCCCGTGAAAAAAAGTTACCTCTTTCCGAATGGGCAATACTAAATGATTATCATTATAATCCTAGCATGAATTTACCACATTATTCCTATTATTTTCGTATGTCTATAGATAATTATCGACCTTTAGGAGAAAATAAACCAAATAATCCAACAATTTCCAAAGTTCTCTCACATGACAGAATTCTTGTTCTCACCTGGGATATTGAAACATATAGTGGTCGCAAAATGGGAGATTTACCCGATGCAAGAAATGAAAAGGATCAAGTATTTATGATTTGTATGACAGTTCATTGGAAAGATAACCCCACCCCAAACCACTATTGCAAATATGTTTGGTTGATATGGAGACGAAACCAGATCCTGGGTGGATTACAGTAATATGTGGAAATCAGATCAACTTATTGAAAGCCTTTGTATTATGTTGGAAAAATTTAACTCCCGATATACAAATAGGTTTTAATGATTCCCAGTATGATTGGGTTTTTGTTATAGAAAAAGCTAAAAGTTTAGGCATACTTGAATGGATGTTTAATCATATGTCACCTGACTCATCTAACATTGAAGAAATTATAAAATGGAAGTATCGAAGAAGTGAGATAAAGATATATGATGAAAAATTTTATTCGAAGTATCTCAAAATCCCAGGGTGTATACCTATTGATGTTCGTGTTTGCTTCAAAAAGTTGTACCAAAAATCAGAAGCAAGTTCACTGAGATATTATTTGGAAAAATGTGGATTGGGTAGCAAGGCGGATATTCCAATAACTACTATGAACAAAATATATGAAGATGCAATACTTCAACCCTCTGATACATCAGCTAAAAATATGTGTGAAGTTGTAAATTATTGTGTTACAGATGCATTGCGATGCCAAGAGCTTATGGTTAAGCATAATGTAATCAATGATAATAGAGAAGTGGCATCTATCGCATATGTTTCTCTTTCTGATACTTATTACTATGCAGGAGGGATGAGAGTATGTAATCTGCTTGGTGCAGAAGCTTGGAAACGGAATATAATGGTTAGTATGATCTCATATAAACCAGAAGAAGAGGATGGGTTTCCTGGAGCTTACGTAATTCCGCCTATAAAAGGTCTTGAAAATAAGCGACCTGTCACTGGTTTGGATTTTGCATCATTATATCCAAGTCTTATTATGACCTACAATCTTTCACCCGAAAAAATAATTTTAAATCGTGAAGAGGCTATATCTGTAGCGCAAAGTGGTAAAAAGCTTCATAGGATAGAATTCACGGTTAATGAAGGTAAAGAGAATGAGCGTAAAATTATTGCTTGGTCTGTAAAGCATGGAAATCAATCAGAAGAGAAAGGATTATATGTTATGGTATTGGAGGAATTACGTAACAAGTGAGCTGAAATGAAGACTCGTCTTAAAGCATTGGGAGATAAAAAGGAAGCACTTGAAAAAATGGGAAAATTACATAATGAGGCAGAGTATGCTTCTATATGTTTTGAATATACTTGTATAGATTCCAAACAAAATGCTCTCAAGATATATATGAACACGTTTTACGGTGAGGCAATAGTATTTCTCCATTCTTTCTACTTGAATTGGCAGGTGGGGTTACTTCAGCTGGACAGCATAATATTAAATTCGTTAAAAGTTTCGTTGAAGATAAAGGATTTAAAGTCAAATATGGAGATACTGACTCCTTATATCTTGTCTGTCCGGAAGAATATTTCCAGGAATGCGATATAGCATATAATAATGGAAATGGTATCTCAAGAGAGGATTACTGGTCTCAAATGGTAAAAATATCTATGGAAGTGATGGCAAACCTCCGTAATGAAGTAAATACTGAGCTTGAAAAAGACAATGGAACGCCT